TATTGGCCAATATTGACTTAACAGTATTGGTGCAATATTGTATCGCCAATATTGGCCAATATTACACTTTACAATATTGGCGCAATATTGTAGCGCCAATATTGGCCAATATTGGCAAAATGTTCACATTGCAACATTGGTCCAACATAGTTTACAATATTGCGCCAATATTGTAAACAATACCGCCCTAATATTGCGCCTATATTGTTTGCTACTAGGGTATATATATATATATATATATATATATATATATATATATATATATATATATATTATATATATATATATATATATATATATATATATATATATATATATATATATATATATATATATATATATATATATATAACAAAACTAAAGGACATTATGAATATTCCTTTATGTTACGCATGCGTTCCATTATGTAAAATTTAATATAAAGCCAATATTGGCAAACATTATTTCGCTTAACATTATCAGTAAATCGAAAATGGGACAATATTGGCGCAATATTTCGCCAAAATTGGCATAACAATATCAGTAAAACGATAATGGATAATATTGGCGCAATATTGATTGCCAATATTGGTAAGACAATATTGGTGTAATATTGTTTGACAATATTGGCGTAATATCGGATATCTTGGCCAAGATTAGCCAAGATACCCAATATCGTGCCAATATTACGCCAATATTGTTTGCTACTTGGGTAGTTTGTACATACCTGTACAAACTTAAATGACATATACGATAATTGTAAGGCACATATTTTGATAAATGTATTTTTTTATTGAAAGAAAGAACGTAAAGGCAAATGATTAAAAACTTGTTAAGAATGCTTAAAAGACAACAATGAGGGGGAGAAGCTAATAAAAGGAAAAAATCTAGATTTTAAGTGTTCTAGATATTGATGATAATGAATTTTAACCTCTTATAGCCCCGAGTTGCCTGTGATCAACATACCAAAAAATGGTTTAAAACCTTAGTTAAAATTTTTTTCCATAAAGAAATGAATCCGGATAAATTTAGTTTAATATTCAACCAATCAAAATTTACTTACACTAAAGACTATACTTTGAATCCTTGTTTAAAAAAAAAAATTGAATTTTGCAGTATAAGAGGAAAGTGATTTATCTTCCGAAAGTGATGAATCAGTTGTACTAAATGATTATAAATTAGATTGTGAACTTACTGATTCCTTTAATTGATAGTTTGAGAGAGCGCTTTAACTTATATGCTCCAACTGAAATGTTATGCATTGACGAGCAAGTTGTACCTTTTAAAGGAAGATCTAGACTAAAGCAATATAATCCTAAAAGGCCTAAAAAGTGGGGAATATTGTTATGCAACTGCTACAAAATATTCCAAGACACAATGGACATAAATTGTTTATAGATAACTGGTATACAAATGTTAAATTAGCAACTACATTATTAAACCAAGGAATCGCTTTAGTCGGGACTGTTCAACCAAACAGGTTCACCAATTGCAAAATGTCAACTGACAAAGATATGAAAAAGAATGAAAGAGGTTTAGTTGAAATTAAAACTTGCCAAAATGATGGTGTTGAGCTTCGTGCAATTAAATGGTTTGATAGTAGATCTGTTAACATCCGTACTACCTATGAGTCAGTAGTTCCAACAACTCAAGTAAAAAGATGGAATAAAAAAGAAACAAAGGAGGTTTTGGTGGATTGTACCTCTGCAATTGTCACTTACAACAAATGCATGGGAGGTGTCGATCTCTTAGATGGACTATTGAGCTACTATCGCGTTCGAAAAAATGATATCATCGGCTAATCTGGCATTTTCTTGATGTTTCTGTAGTCCAAGCATGGATAATGTTTAAAAAAGATTTAGCAAACGATAAAAAAATAATGTCGTTAAAATCTTTCAAGTTGCCAATTGCCGAATCATTGATTATGCAAGAATAAAGGTTTATCAGAAAAGGACGACCTTCAACATCAGTTGATCTGATCTATAATGAGAAGAAGAAAAGAGGTCCTGCAGCGCCAATTCCAAACAAACTTATTAGAAATGATGGGTATTAACATTGGCCAGAGTACACAGATAAAAAAGGGTGATGTAGATATCTTGGTTGTAATGGTTTCCCTAAGATAAAGTGTTCCAAGTGTGATGTCCGTCTCTGTTTTACGCCGACATCTAACTGTTTTAAAACTTTTCATGAATCCTAAATTTCAAATACACTTCTCTTAATAAGATGTAAAATTGGAAAAGCTAAAAAACTTGGGCTTTTCATGTAAAGTAATATTGTGTTATAATAAAAAAATTAGTACTTTAAGACTGGAAGCAACGAACCCCAAATTGGCCCCAAAAATATAAAAAAATTTGTTTTTTAAAATTTCATTATTATATTAAGATAATAAGTGACTAAAATTCAAAAAAATATATTTTTTACATGACAAAAAAATAAAGTGGGCTGTAAAAGGTTAATTTAAGCATTTCACTTCCTTCTCAATAACTCAAAAAATTATGGCATATCACACTTTTGTTACTAAAGTCACGGACATACTTGCTTTTACTTTTTTCATTTTTTTCGAAACTGTGTTCTTGTTTAAATATTGTTGCTTAAAATATTTCTCTTAAACAATTTAAAAACTAAATCTTAACACAACTTTTTACTAACAACTTTAGGTGTAAGGTCGGTGAAGGTAAAAACCAAAGATCTAAAATAAAATGCAGGTTTGTGTCGAAAAACATACTCTATATCTCATTCAAAGCAATAGATGCTAATCAGTTGGGAAGATAAAATATTTTTCTGATGAGTCTTTACTGATGAAACGCAGTGTTAAATAAAAAATTTTTGCCAAGTGATTTCCCACTAATTTATATATATATATATATATATATATATATATATATATATATATATATATATATATATATATATATATATATATATATATATATATATATATATATATATATATATATATATATATATATATGTATATATATATATATACACAAGGGCAGGGAAATTTTAATTGCAATTTTATTGTTTACAAATATGCTACCAATTGATTAAATGCAATTATTATTCAGTGCAATCAATTAGTTGTAATTTTTGAACAATTCCATCACCTTTTCCAAGTAATTGCAATTAAATGTTGGTTTTTATGAAGGTCTAAAAATGTTAAAAACAGAACATAAAATTATCATTTTTTATTAAATATCATACTTAAAAGATTAATATTGTTGGGTTATTACTTTAAATATATATATATATATATATGTAATCATTACATATATATATATATATATATATATATATATATATATATATATATATATATATATATATATATATATATATATATATATATATATATATATATATATATATATTTAAAGTAATAACGTACTTTAAACTGGAATTATATACTACATTGTAATGTATAATTCCAGTTTAAAGTACGTCTTTAATAAGAACTTTTAAAAAATAAATTAAAAACCAAAATTTATTTGAAGAGTAAGTCACTAAAACAATCAGTTATTTTTATAATTCATCATAATATCTAAGAGCATATTTCTGTCCCAAAATCGTTTGTTAGCACACAAAAACATTTGCATTTCAAGATTGGATGGAAGTATATTTTGTCTCAAATGCCCAATTGCGTAACCTGCCGCACTGAAAAATCTTTCCGCAATATTTGACGTTAGCACCAGAAACTTGCAATTCACGTATCTTGAATCCGAAGACATTTTTTCTAATTTTCTTTTCTTTAGCAGCTTAGTAGCAAAGTCTAAATCATGATTAATACTAACTGGCGTGATCTCAGATTACTTTAGAAGTATATTTACACTTTCCTTTTCATTTAAAAATAGTTCGTGCTCTCTGTTGTCCAATATTTTAACTAGCGCACTTTCAAATGTTTTAGAGTGAATAATATCTATATTTGAAGATAAATAGGTACCCATATTAACATCGAGTTTAATTATTTCATTAAATAAAACTCTTACTTCTGAAATGTCAATAGATTCTCTTTGAAATGCAATGGTTACTGAGTTAAGTTTTTGCAGAGTCTCATTTAGCAACTGAAGATCATTTTCTTCCCTGGCAGACAATATGTAATCTATTAGCTCGGGCATTTTATCAAAGTTCCCTTGGGTGAAAAATGATTTAAAACGAAAATATCGTTTTATCATTTCTGAAGTACTTGACCATCGTGTTATGTTTCTTTGAATAGTACAAAGAGAAGTCAACAAACAGAGTTTTCCGACTAGCTTTAAATTTTTGAATTTACCCATAACCTTATTTGTCTTATTGATGCTATGTTTATATTTGAGTAAAAACATTTCCATAGCCAAGTTGAATCTGTGAGAGGCACATCCTATTAATAGAACATTGCACAGATTTGCAAGGGCCTTATTCGTTTCACAGTTGTCAATTATTAAAGATGTTACGTTAGTCATATTTTTGCGATAATTATGTTCAAGAACCCATGATAAATATTCAAAGTGGGCTTTTGCTGTAAACTCTGTTTCATTTCCTATAGGTTATAAGGCAATTAATGTAGTACTGTACTCGTTTTTACTGGCATTATTAGGATATGATACAAACATTGCCACATAGTGCCACATAGTACTTCCCTTTGACCATCCATCAAAATGATGGATGGTCAAAGGGAAGTACGCACAATAACTATCCAAGTGGGCACAGACGTAAAAAAGACGTCTTTTAAACGTCTTATACACATTTTAGACGCCTTTTGAACGTCTTTTAAACGTTTTGGACGTCTTTTGAACGTTCAAAAGACGTCTTTTTTTGGTCCGGTGCCCACTGGGATGTTAGCTATTTCTAATTCAACCATTTTAGTCAGTGAATTCATCTAATTTTTCATGGTTTTATGGAAATATTTTCTAATTTAGAGTATTTTTGCGTGAGAGAGTTTTCTACAAATGAAAATGGTTTTAGGTCACAAGTCACCTATTCTATCCATGAATACCTATTGTCGGCACTTTTTGCAATTATTGGTCCTGGAATATGAGTAAAACCACTAAACTGTGTAATCGGCTGTTGCGTTGAAGTTGAAGAAGTATTATATTCTATATATTCTGGATGCATACTTTTAACATGATTAAATAAATTGGTCCATCTTGTCCTAGTTTTCTGGCGAAGTTTTTTTTCGCACTTACAGGTCCAATTACTGTCATTAGCATCATCTTTCATGAAGTAAATGTTGACTATTTCTTTTGTATTCATTGTTAGCGAGATTTATAAAAATCCTAAAAAGGAATTTTTTTAATGTGCACATATAAACATAATTTATAGCACAATTGAAATAAACATGCGTATACATGCGTATTATTGGTTATGCGTCAATCTATCCTTAACCTTATATGCGTATACAGCTCGAAAATTTATGCATGCGTATTATTACTTATGCGTCATTCTATCTTTAACTTTTTATGATTAAAAACAGTGCTAAACTAAAAATTACATAAAAGTATAATAAAATCTCGGTAAATAATATTAATGGCAAAATTTATCAATTATCAACTAATTGCAATTCTAACACAATTAATATATATATATATATATATATATATATATATATATATATATATATATATATATATATATATATATATATATATATATATATATATATATATACATATATATATATATATATATATATATATATATATATATATATATATATATATATATATATATATATATATATATATATATATATATATATATATATATATTTAAACAATTTTAAAAATGTATTCTACGAAATAGAGTGCTCAATGTTCTTAAAAAAATAGAGCAATTATAAATTAGTGGTGATTTAAATTAGAAATGTAAATGAAACCATTAATGTTATATATAGTAAAAAGTCTAATCTTATCATCAGAACTTATAAAAACGTAAATATATAAATACTTATATATACGAAGTAAATACAGTAATACATCTCTTTTTATTAGGCAAGAGAAAATATAACAGTCTTACAATTAAAAAGGCAAATACGCGGTTGTGATAAAAAGTATTTAAATATATCATTAATAGATAAAATAAAATTTTTTAAATTTACTTTTAAAGATCGGAAATGTATTGGATATATCAAAATTAAGTATAACAATTTTATTCCAAAGGTAAGGTGGTCAAAATGTAATGCAAAATTTGTTAAATGTTGTTTTGCAAATAGGTTCATGTACAAATTTTTTTAATGGTTCGGAATGAGTAAATCGATCCGCAAAATTAATCAATCGGATTGCATGCTTCTAACGGCAAAAAAGGCATTTTAGCTTACTTTTTTCGGTGCTTGTCCACGCTATGTTGGCATAATTAATATAGGTGTGAATAAATGCGTAATAAAGTTAGGTTAAGGCTTTTTTTGTTTAAATATGATCTGGATTTATATAAGACTCCGTTACTTTTAGATATTTTCGAGCAAATATATACTATTTGCGGTTTCCATGTAATGTTCTCGTCGAGAAAAAATTTAGTAACGAAATCTTATTTTTTTTCAACTTTATCAATAAATATTTTGGGCAGACTATGGGGTAAATAGCATTTTTTAGAGACTGAATGGAAAAGAATCCACTTGGTTTTTTTAATGTTAATAGTTAACTTTTTACCTTTGAACCAAGTAGATATGTTTGTAAGTTCATCATTCATTGTAGAAAAGAGTTTGGATATGTCATTTTTAGTCAGGAATAAGTTGATGTCGTCGGCAAATAAGTTTGAGGTTTTATTTAAGTCATTTATATAGACTAAGAAAAAAAGTGGCCCCAAAATAGAACCTTGGGGAACACCATAGGAAATATTTAGTAAATGGCTTTGGTTATAGTTGTTATAAGTAACTTCGAAGCCATTTTTTAGTTATATAGTTTAATGCGTAGTATTTTAATTTTTCAAGCAGGATTTCATGGTCGACAGTATCAAAAGCCTTCGACAAGTCAATAGAAACACCTTATCTAAATTGGGATCTTCGAAAGGAATTTGAGATTTCTCGTACAAATTGGATTTTTTTTTTTTTTTTTTCAAATTTTATTTTATTTTGCTGTTTATATAAATTACAATTTCATTTCACCAAAAATAAAATATAATTACAAATGTACAAGTAATAAACAGACAGGGGCTCAAAGAAGATATGGATGGCAAAATACTAACCTAGTCTTTTTATAAAGCCCCTACAGATCATAACAATAAAATATGGTAATATATGGTTAATAAATCAAGTAGAAAATTTAGGAAAAAAAAAAAAAAAGTAAATGATAGTGGATAATTGCATGTTCGGTAGAATTATTTTTTTTGAAACCAAATTGATTATTGTATAAAAGATTATTGGAGACAAGATAATTGTATACTCTATTGTACATAAACGCTCTAAGATTTTTGAAAAGGTAGAAAAGATAGATATAGGGCGATAGTTACTGATATTGCAACAGTCTTCTTCTTTCAAAATCGGAATAACTTTTGCAATTTTTAGACGATCAGGAAAAATTCCTTGGTGGACAGATGATTTATAAACTTTATAAAGAATATCTTTGAGATGATCAAAACACTCGATAATTATGTCACTATTAATTCCATCAGCTCCGATAGCTTTTTTTTTTTAGTGATTTGAAGGCGATTTCGAATTCATACTCAAAAGAAAATTCTGAGTATATGAGCCATGACCACAGACTTTGCAACAGACTATGCATGTCTTTCAATAGGATTTTTAGAAGATACACAATTTTCTAAAATTTTTACCTGGATTTTTTTCAAATAACGAAGTTCAAAGTATTGAACAGTTCTATTTTAGATGATGATTACTTTAGTTGATGATGGTTTAAACTTATGGCTCAAACATCTAGATACAGAAAAATTTAAATTGTCTCTCGCTGAATTAAACAAGTCAATTACCTATACAATTGACTATGGCATTGAATTAATTGAAAAAGAAAATATTTATAATGAAATTAATTTTTTAGACATTTCTGTTATTCTTCAAAATAAAAAATATATCAAAACGGATATAATAAACTAAGACTAACAGTTATTTAAATTTTAATAGTCATTATCCTTACCACACCAAAGAGAACATTTCATTTAATCTTGCAAAACGAATAATTGTATTTACATCTAATTACACCACCAATGGCAGAAAGAATGAAATTACCTGGACAACGTTATTAAAAAAGCATTTCATAATGTAAAACTACAAGAACATGAGAAACAAAAGAAAGCTAAGGCAACCTTTTCTTTAATTACTACATTTTACAGCAATATAAACTGCTAGCCTATACTAACTAAAACTAATCTTTCACTAGAGGATGGTCTATTCAGACTATCCTCTAGTGAAATAATACAACAAATTTTTTCTAATAATAATCCTGTAATAGCTTACAAACAACCCCCACCAATTTGCTTAAACAACTTACTTCTGCTAAATTTAATTTCGTACCATCTAACAATAAAATTTTTTAAATGTAATGATTGTCGTTGCAAAATTTGTCTATTTTACTTGCAAGATATATATATATATATATATATATATATATATATATATATATATATATATATATATATATATATATATATATATATATATATATATATATATATATATATATATATATATATATATATATATATATATATATTATTTTAATGACATCTTAATAGTATGATAAAATTTATATATAAAATTAAAAATACATCATGTACGGTGACATACAATTTATTTATTTTATTAATTTAATTTATTTTAAATGTGATATAATACTTCCGTGGGTTCCTAAATTAAGTCTTATTCTTAGACGTGAGTTTCGACAAGTTGGCATAAAAATATATATAATATATATATATATATATATATATATATATATAATATATATATATATATATATATATATATATATATATATATATATATATATATATATATATATATATATATATATATATATATATATATATATATATATATATATAAATATAATATATATATATAATATATATATATATAATATATATATATATATATATATATATATATATATATATATATATATATATATATATATATATATATATATATATATATATATATATTTTTTTTTTTTTCCCCAAGAAAACCTGACGGTCTTGTCACAGAACACCGCGGATGTGTTTTTTACCAGGAAGTTCACGCCTTCTTTTATACCGCGACGTGAAATATGTCAAAACCTCGTTTCTAACCTGGATCTCCTGTTTATAAAGCAAGCGCTCTAATAACTGCGTCACGGCCGTAATTATTGAACTTTCTATAAAAAAATTGTATTAAAAAATCTTTATATTAAAAATATAAAAAAGATATTGAACTTCTAATAAAAAACTTTCTTTTTTAAAAAAGGAAGTAATTAAAGTTTATATAAAAAAAAACTATAAATAACAATAATATAGCATAACTTGATTCTTGTTGGTAAGGAAATTTTAAAAGTAATGTGAAAATTATTTTTCTATTTATATGTTCTTTGTGTCATGTCCCTGTTTATGTAGGTGAGCTTCATAAATAAGAAGTAAATTCTCATTTGAGAGTTTTAACACTGAAAATAATTTTAAAAAAAGGTTCATTTTTATGGCAATTGCAAACATGCTGATCAAATTTATCTGAACCAATACCTGTTCAGCATGTGTAGATGTGTAGATTTGTTCTCAATCTAAGGTTATTAATTTTACTAATGTATGTTGTTTTTCCATCACATCCAGTCCATGATAGAAACTTAATAATATTTTGGAATAACATGACACTAAAGTTTTAATGTTCCATACTTTACCAGATGACTTGGTAAAATGGTTAACAAACTGAAGATACATAGCACATAACTTACAACATTTTGATGTGCATTTTAAAACCTTGCATTCATCGTTAATAAAAACTGGTTTCCTATTAAAACTTGATGTACTTATGTGTCTTAAAATTTTTTTTGGTTTACGTTGCAATAGTACAATAAAAGTTATCTCATTATTGAAAGTGAAATAATTGTTCTTTATAATAACAATCCATGCCAATCATCATTGATATATATTGTTAGTTTTGGTGCAAGAGGTGATAAGATTTTTCCAACGAGTTTACTAAGGGATCGTCCAGAAATTACGCAACGCAGAATATAATTTAAAAAGGGTAGGAGATATTAAACTCTATTACGAGGCGATTTTTATAAAACATAATGGGGTATGTTTTGTTTATTATGAAAGATTGCGTTACGTAAATTATGGATGATCCCTAAGGCGTTGGATAGGTGAAAAAGAACCTTCAACTATTGGTCTTCCATTTAGATTATATTTAAGATTATACTTATATTATATTTAAATGCGAAATTAAATTTAAATTTAAATATGAAAGAAAAATAAATAGTTCCAATGTGTCCAACCACATGGTGTTGGATTCTTTGGTCCATTACATATATATTATGATTAAGAGATTCAGACATGGCTAAGGAAACATCCAGGTAGAGTTGTAACACATTTCCTGATTCCTTGATTTTTAAATAATGTATATTTAAAAAGTACAGCATTTTTCTAATTTTATTCATGTTTTTGCCTAAACTGGAATATACCCTTTAAATAAATAGTAGTTAAACTACCTGTCATGACCCGTACGTTACGGGTCGTGGTAAGTTTAATCCACAACCATAATTTTTTTTTTTGCAAACTATAAATCTATTGCTTGTTAAATTATAATTTATTTAAATAAAACAGTCTAATTTAAATAAAATATATCGAATACCATTATATTTAATTTTGAAAATAGATTAGCAAATGTTTTAAATATCATGACTGTTGTGCTCATTAAAATGTCTTGATTCGCTAAAAATATACGCATTTTGCAGCTTACTGACTAAAGTTCTTGCCTTCTGGTTAATTTTTAATTTACTATACTTCAGAACTATTTAGTATTTTTACTTATTACTTTAATATTTTCTGCATAGTAAAAGTATCTTTAGCATATAAGACAGTTGTGTAACCTTTCTTTAGGTGTTTTTTGAAGTATTTTCGGCTAAGATAATAATATTTATTTAAAAAGCAAATTTTGACATTGAAAAATAGGCCCAAGAGACCAAGTTACTTCAAATAAGTTAGCCTTATCTGTTTAATATTTTTTATAAAAGCCCTTCTGTAAAAAAACTCTCTGCAATTTCATACAATTAAACTGTTTTTTATTGCGGAATTAGGCAAATAAAATTTTAAAACTGTTGTTTGTGCAATCGATACTTAGTGGAAATGAAAACTGTCTTGATCGTATAAAAGGTAATAAAAGTATAAATGGTTTCCATTCACGTATAAAATGATAACGGAAATATAAAAAACAAAGCAAAAATAGCCAAATTATCCATTCAAAACAATAATTCCAAAGATAAAAAATATAGAAATTTATTTGAAAAACAAACAAAAACATTTTCATAATTAAATAAAAAAAAAAACTAAAAAAAAAATACACAAAAATTTTATATACAAAAATACTTATAAAAACAATTTAATTTGAAACATTCTTTCATTACTATATATTTTTAGTAAATGGTATGAAGATTATCAAGCTTCGTTTTAACTTTTAAAATACAATCAACATTCAGAACATTTCTTAAATTCTGCTATGTAGGAACTTTCAAAATCAGTCACAGGTGCACTGTCGACCTAAAAATGGAACAAAATTATTAATGAATACTCTTAATACACATTAATTTGTTATGTACTATATTTATTTATTTGAAAACTCAAAAATGGGACTAAACAGATAACAGAAAAGAAACTTGTTTATCTTTTGTGAAAGTTTCAAAATTTATTGTTGCAAGTTTTAAATAACTAAAAATAAATGATCACAATAAGATACAACTTGGTTTTTATTTGAAAACTGAACCTTTAGCATTTAGTGAATGATTATATGTAGTCAGTTTCAGTAATGAAACTACCCAATAGTTATTTTAAATTAAAGACCTCGACGTGAAAGTAAACCAAGTCATCTAATCTATCAAAACAACACAACAATAACATCAAAAAATTAACAAACAACATAAAATATTAAAGTAAAATATTCAATTTATCATAACTACTCAAAGGGAAGCAAGAAATTAGCTTGTTAGAGAAATTAGCTTGCTAGAGTTATTGGCAGTATAATTAAATAACTAATGGATCCAATAATAACAATAAATAAAATAAAATTTTAAAATTAGTTTAAGTTAAGGGTTATTGAGTTATCCAGAGTTTATTGTTCATATATAAACTATTAACACCACTCACATGAAAACACTAACAAAATATATACCCATATAGCCTAATATAACACATAATAAAAACACACATTACCACATCATATGACACATAAAAATACTTGTCAAAAACTATAAATTAAGAATATTTAAAAATATAACATTTGTGAAGTTTTCATTCAATGACTACCTTGTTTATGCATGTGTATATGCAAATGTTATGCAAATGACTTGTTATGCATGTTTAATGC